TGCAAGCCAGTCCTGTCTGACCCACATTCGTACCCATCAAGGCGGACATTTATTGATACCCTGACGATGACCGAAAACATTCCGTTATATACCGCCACCTACAGGCCAGTTCTGCTCGCTTTTTTTCTGTTATTATTTTTAAAGAGCGGTTTTTTTCTCCTGTAAAATTAATCCAATCATTTTTAACTTTTTCCGAGGAGTTTTTTTTCACCCCTCAATCTTCATGTTTCTCAATGGACTTCTAATTCAGAAACTATGAATTGCATTTTGTAAAGATTCAGCCTACCTCGTCTAAAACTCGCATGCAAATTTATTTTAACTTGCTTTGATGGGACCCCGACGGGTCTTTAATAAAAATTATCTATCTATCTATCTATCTTGAGAGGTTGTGACCCCGGCGTTTTGACGGTGAGCCAAATAGTTTCAGTTGTGCGCGCGAGCTGTCCCTCTTTTTCTGATGCAAAAAGGCCATATTTGACATACACGAGCACACCTCCACCTTGACGTCCCAACCTGTCCTTTCTGAACAAGTGATAACCAGATAAAGCGACTTCGCGATCGTCTACGCTCGCGGACAGCCACGTTTCAGTTATGGATATAACATCGGGTAAGGTTTGGTCAACGTAGATTTTAAGCTCATCTAATTTAGATAGCAAACTTTGCGCATTGGAATACAAGCATTTTAGCTTTTTTTCCTTTGGTAAGCCGGCTATGACGCCGCCTTTGCCAATTGTCTCGGCTGTGGCGACATACGCACGGGCCGTGTCCATATGAAGCGGGACGGTCGCTCGATTATGCAGTTGTTGTAGATAACCAGGCCTTGTTCGCCATTCGTTTGTCGCAGCCTTAGCTCCTGAACTAACTGTCGGCGTTTTATCCGCTCCGGTGGTGTGTAATCCGGCTGAAAAAAAACTCCTTGGTGGGAATATTTTAACCTAAAACGTCTTGAGAGGATGAGATCAACATGCTCTTTGCAACTCAGAACAATTTTAAGGGGCCTAGGATGCGGTGGAATAGCGGGTTCAGTAGAGCGCTTTCGGAGTCTGAAGGCTTTCAACACGGAAATTTCTTCGTCGGGTTGAAGCAGTGTGTTTAGAAGACCTTGGAACAAGCAGAGATCAGCTAATACGCGTTCTTTAGGTTATCTGCTTGAGGCTCCTGAAGTCCCTGTATTACTAGGCACTGTTCTCGGAGCGGCCGGTCTTGGTTGCGTGATGTTGGTGACTTGGGAGTTCCTGGCGAACCATTCATGATGACATTCTGGTTGCTATCCACTCCAGGGATCTTTTCTGCAGCTAATGGTATCGTGTTTGGGGCAATACTGCTCCTGTCTTTTATGTCAATACAGAGAATATTCGCATTTGCCGCGTCTGTGTCTACGCTGGCGCTGGAGGTTTCTGTCGATTGCTCAGACGAGCTCTGCTTTTTCACCCCAGGAAGTTCCTTTCTTCGGGTACTCCGAAGTCGTCCGATTTCCGTCTCTCTCTTTTCAGTCATCAGTCCCCTTTGATTTAACTGCTTCTTTTGATGTGACCTCAGTTGCATGTGAACGGTCTGAGTCTTATTATTAATTCCTTGGTTCTCCTCGGTCCCATTGCGGGGGGCAGTGAGCGTCTGCTTTCTGCTCTTCTGCGGCGGATTAATATCATGCCTTGTCATATTCTCCGCGATTTCCTCTGAGGTTTCCGTCCATGCAGTAGTCTTTTCTATGTCGAATCCTTTTACCTTCTTCTGTGGTGGAGATCGGACAGCTTCTACTCTGCCAGTGAGCTGGTCATTGTTCTTCAGCTGGGTAGTTCTCAATGATGAGAGTGTACTGCAATTATCACTCCGCAACTTAGTTTGCGATTTTGGAGTGTCGTTTATCATCGCTCTTGGTGAGGGTGAGGCTGTATGTTCATGTTTCCGTTTACCTTTTCTTTTAGCACTCTGTTTATTTCTGCAGCCAGCGGTCTCCTGAAACGGTGATCCCTCTACTAGTGAGTTGCTGTTAGTCAACTCTGTCAGTTTCGAAACTATCTGTTGGCTGCTGCGGAATTCATCAATTGACTTGAATTTATCATACTTTAGTAACAATGCAATGAGATCTATAAGGAGGTTCATGTTCGTCTCCAACGACGTAATGTTTAACGCGAGATCTCGACAATATTTACACCGCGAACCACAATTTGAAGGTTCATCATCTGGTAGAAAATCTTGTGTAGGCGTGGCGAATTTCCCGGGATAATTTGCGTTGCGGGCCACCTCCGTCCTGTTTTGAACCACTTCTGGCGTACTGCGTTCGTTAGATCCTCCCTGCCCGGTGTGAATCGACGCTGGTCCGCATGGAGTTGCTAGTGCACTATTTTCATGGCAAAATCCGACACATTCCCCAACCGTGGGGCTAATGCAATTAATATTCTTTGATCCCATTCTCTCGGTGCCGATGGCCGAGGGGTCTAGGCGTTCGCCTCGTGAGGTGATGGTCGGAGGTTCGACCCCTGCTCCCCACGCCCTTTTTTCATCCCGCGGGACTGATGGATCGTACACTTCTACATTTCCCATGTCTCAATGCGCCAAAGTCAAGGATACAACAACGGCCGAAAGGTTGGCAGCAGAAGACAGACACAATCAAAAGAAGACCTAAGGCTTTCAGATGTCAGGGAAGCTTTAGGCAACGGAAATCTAAGCGAATGCTTCGAGACTTCAGACAACAGAAACCTAGTCGAATTTAACGGCACTGCAGTTAACAGAAATTTAAGCTAATGCTTTGAAGCAAAGGTACAGCTAAAGTCTTATTTCGAAGTGAGACTCAGCCTTTGTTCTGAGCGTTTCGTTTGCTGGAAGATTGGTCTTTTTAGGCTCGTATGCAGAACTGGTAGAGTCGAAGTCCACGTTCTGCAAAGGTGGTGTCGTAAATTGATGACGATGCGAATATTGCTGTCTGTGAATCAATTTTCTAAAATCCGTTTGACTTCAGGAGCATCCAGAGTGCGGAAATCTCGAAGAATATTAACCCCTCGGAGGACAAAAAATTGAAACCAAATTCGCACCTAATTCGCACCTTTCAAAGTGCGCGGTATGTTCTGGCACCTCGTTCGAATAACAAAACAAACATAGGACAGAAATGGTAGTTTATTCAACGCTCTAACCGCCTGAGCTACGAGGCCCCACAGGCAGCCGTGAGTTTAATCACATTTGCGTCAAGTTGCACGCCCAACCTACTGCAACGTATGGAATTCACCAATTCTGATGTAGTAAACTGACTGTCAAAGCAGGATTTCCTAAGCAAACAACCCGGATTCCACCAGATGATTACTAGACTCATTTAAGAATTAGGTATTTTGGCAGACTTAAATAATTTACCTGACCAAGTTGTAGGGAACTCGAAAGGCTCGGTGGGACTCGAACCTACGGCAGAAAGGGCAAAGCTTTAGTACAGCTAACGCTCTAACCGTTTGGGCTACGAGGCCCCACTGAGAGCCGAGTTTGTCAATTCATTTTCCAGGCGTATGTTCGTGACTTCGGGGTTAAAGCAGCAGGATGGTTGGGAATAATGGGGTTAGGTTGAGAGAAACTACGATTTTATTCTGTTTGATCCTCCGACCTCCATGGTCTGCAACAAACTGGGAAGTTGATCCGCTATCCAAAACGCGGAGCTTGTGACTGTCTCCTTGCTATACAGTAAAACCTGCAGTTTATAGTGACGGGTGAATGGGAGGGGGAGGTGGAAGGTCGACTCTATGAACAACCTCTTTATTCTGCCAATCTGAGTAACACAAAGGTCCAACGCGCTAAAAGCTTGTTTATTGAACTCCTAACCCTTCTAGAACATGTTGAACCCTGAAGTGGTGGTCAAGCTATTTCTCGTGCGATAACCCTCTTGCAGGGAAATCCCGAATGTTCTATCGGCCACTCATTGGGCTGCACGTGTAAGCTCAAGTATGCGGCACATGCTGATTAACTAACTTATTCCACGCGTGAATTTCGATCCGGTTTAGCCTACTGCGTTTTCCTTTTGCTTTAGACAGTGACTTTATTCTATTTCCGTCCTTCATAACACTTTTGACTGAAGATAGAGACACTTTAGTGCTCGCTTCTTGTTCTTTTGTTGTTAGTGGTCAGCCGTAAGTCGTGCGCGAAAAAAACGTAAACTGGAGTGCCTATGACTATCGAGTGAAATCGTACAGAGTATGTGAAAAGCTAACAGCAATAACTCAGTCATTAATAAACATGTCATCTGCGATTGCTCCAGAAGGTCGTTTTCCTGACCTTCATGCAGGCATCTCAGCAGCTTAATAAGTGGCGGCACCGACCTGTATCGCAGGTGAATAACGAGCGCTTCCGCGAACCGACATCCCCAGTTTACAAAAAATGCATCTTCGGTTTCTCCAGTTAAGACCAACGTTGGCCGTTGCTTCTGGGTTCTCATTGTATCGTGGACTTATTAACATGCCTACCGGGCCGGTGACTCATTGTACCCTGTCAAGATTGGTCTACATGCAATAAACTAGGAGGAATTGCGCAGTTGTCTTTGGCAGGCCGAGTTTACGCTCTGGTTGCCCTGTTACGGCAAGTTAGTGGAGGTAACGTAGATTCTACAATAATCCGACAAAGTTTCAGATAGTGATGGTTGTTTGTGAGGCCAAGGTGTACACTGATCGCGTTAAGTCATGCCCGGGAGAGAGAGAGAGAGCGAGAGAGAGAGAGAGAGAGAGAGAGAGAGAGAGAGAGAGAGGGGGAAGAGAGTCTGGGTGATCTCTTATTTCTACAGGTTTTCGGAAAAGTTTCAGTGACCTTGTGCTTCGGTGTGCGTGCACAGATTAATGCACAGCAAGGGCGACTGTGGTAATTTGGACACATGTACATCTGTGTGGAGGATTAAGAGTGAAGCTAAGCGGTCCCTTGTTAAGGTAGCCTTTATGGAAATACGACGAAACGGAGAATCGCCTCGGACACGCCCAAATCATCCAGCTACTGAAGTTCTGTCTCAAGACGTACTTTAAGTTCGACGGAACAATCTACGAGCAGGTGAAGGGAACGCCAATGGGTTCGCCGATTTCGGGACTCATAGCCGAGGCGGTCCTACAACGGCTGGAGTCGCTGGTTTTCCGACAGCACAGACCGAAATTCTGGCTTGGTATGTGGATGACAGCTTCGTCGTCATCCAACGGGACCAGGTGCTGACATTTAAAGAACATATCAACGCCGTCTTCCCGGACATTCAATTTACGATGGAGGAGGAGGAAAATAACTAGCTGGCCTTCCTGGATGTCCTCGTCTGCCGTAAAGATTGTGATGACCTAAAAACCAAAGTGTTCAGGAAAGCGACAAATACGACGCAAATACTGAACTTCAATAGCAATCACCCGATCGGTCACAAACGCAGTTGCGTAAGGGCGCTATATCCGCGCGTTGAGACGCACTGCAGTGAAATGAAAGACAAGGTTGCGGAACTACAATATCTTCGACGGGTAATGAGAGCCAGTGGTTACCCGCGCAACTTTGTCAACCAGTGCATACGAAAAGGACATCAGAGACCAAATCCAACCGACCCCAAATTTTGGCGGGCTCTTCCGTACGTTAAGAACGTCTCGGGAGCCGTCAGTGGTCTTCTCGCTCCACTTGGAATTGGGGTTGCACACAGGCTGGAAGCTACCATTAGGCGCCAAGTCATGAGGCTAAAAGACCCGCTGCCACGGCAGGAAACGTCTGGAGTCGTTTACCGGATCTGGTGTAGTTGCGGACAAAGCAACTACGTCGGAGAAACTGGGAGATTACTCCGTACATGAATTGCCGAGCACGAAGCAGCAGTGAGGCGGGGAGACGCTAGCTCTCAGGTGGCGGCACACTCGACGGGACCCGGCCATATTTTCAAATTTCAAGAGGCCGAAATCCTCGCAAGGGGTGACAACTGCGTGAGCCGCGAGCTGCTCAAGTCATGGTTCTCAAGGCCGCAATCCATCAACAATCACAATGACCTACCGGTACCATATTCCGTGCTGAGATTTTCCCTGGGCAGGGGAATCAGTCACGTGGGGAGGGCGCGGGCGAGCAATAATCACAGTGACAGTGAGCTAATTTACCGAGCCATCGTCACACCAGCACCCAGCACGGATGACGAAATCACGGCCATTAACGATTCGGACTCGGACTGACAAACCACCACCGCATCAACTACGACCCCAGCGGTGATTGCGAGAGCTGTTAATTACAGTGTCGCATATGGTCCCACGGCAGCCACGCGCTATTAATACTGCACTCTTTGTGCCACCACCACCTTTAACTGCGAATGCCTCTGATGATGGATTCGAGTGAGAATCCGAAACGTCAGGCCAATAAATTTCTTGTTCCAGTGATCGCATCTTTATCTTCTGAACTGCTTCCTGGAACTCGCCTGTTCGCTTCTATCATCTCCCTCGGGATGATGACAACCGCGGTTGTCTACCGGACACCAGCAAGCTTCTTCAGAGGTCTACACCAACGGGTGCTAGCTACAGCCGAGGCAGTGGCTATACGGCTAGCCAATCCAGTGCTATGTTGTCAGAATACGTTGACGCAGGTGCTCTGTCTTCCGTGGCCAACGCCGACCCCAACGTCGCCCCAACCTCCTGATGACAGTGGCGTGTGCTCAAGGTACCCGACATACAAACATCACTCACAGCCTCTGTCACCCCTCCCCCACACCCCCTTGACCCAATGACCATAACACACCGACCTCGCCATGCAGGTAGCGTGGGAACGATGAGCATTAATAGCCCCTGAGTCACTTATAAACCCTGTGAAGTCCGCATATTTTCAACGTCTAAGTAACTGTTTTGGCCTGATGAAGATTTTGTGATTCATAATCGGGCCACTACAATTACATGGGTGATGAACTTTTGAGCTACGGACGGGATTTATGTTCCGGGGGGGGGGGGAGGTTCAGGGCTAGTCATACTCTGTTCCCACGCCTGCATGACGAAGTCAGCGTGTTGAGAACGTTGGAGCTGGGCAGGGGGAGGGAGGGGAGAGAGGGAGGGAGGTTTCGGAGGTAGGGTGTGAGTGCTGTCTGTCACGGAGCGCGCGTGACTGTCTTCAGGGCGTTCGGGCGGCGTGCGATCACAACCTGGAGCCGGTCAGGGAAGACAGACTGTATCTCAACGTCTTCTGAGAAGAGAACCTTGGATTCGCTAACCGAATAGCCACTGCCTCGGTTGTTGCGTGCTGGCGCCCGATAGATGACTTGAAGGACTTCTCTGCGTCAAACTGGTGGTTCGTGTCGATTAGGTGTGCGAGAACCGAACTTGAGATCGATCGATTTTCCCCTCAACCAGACAGACGTGTTCGAGTACCCTCTTTTCCTGACGCCTCATTTTGCATCCAATGTATCCCGCCCCACAGAAGCATGTAAATTAATAAATAAACTTCGGTGTGGCCGATAACGGCCGTCGGTCTTTGCTCCCAACAGTAGGGAAGAGAGAGTTTGCCGGGAATACGCGCAAGTTCGCCGCGGGTAAGGCATTCGAGTCCTCCCATTTGAGTCGGTTCTTATGCTCAAAAAATTCATCCGATTGTTCCGGGGCTCGTGTGGCTGTATTTTCTCCGTTTCTAGACGCATTTGTCGATTCCATTCCTCATGTTATATTGTTATATTCTCCCCTTTCACCACCTTGCGGGAAAAGAAACAGACACGTAAATTATAGCTCACAGCATTCAGATCCCCTGTCCCTGTTTTGTTACTGTTGAAGTGTAAACAATGATTAAATCCACAGAGATATTCTAAGCAACAAAAGCTTAGCTGCAAATGGAGTTATGTGGCGTTTAACCTACGAATAATGACAGAGATAAACGAATGGGAAAAAAGATGAACGTAAATTGTTGTACAAACTCCTTAAAAGTAAAGTCCTCTCAGGTGCTAAGTCGTTATATAAAGCAAAGCTCCTCCGTGTAATTCCAGAAAGTTCCAAGCTAAGCCCGTTAATAATGCTAGCTATTCGGATGAATCCACGCACGACAAAGTGCATCTGAGTATTCTAGCACATTCAAATACGGGTGTTGAGAAGTTAAGGCGTATAAGGGAAAGCGAAAACATAAATGGAAAAGTACGTAGACCTACACTGTACTGGCTCACCAGAATTACACGCCAAAAAAACGTTCAAAATACGTTCGCCGGCAAATTTAGTGGGTACGCATTTTTCATGTTTACCTCTATAGCTTTCATTGCGTTTTCGACCTTGCCCATCGGATTTTTTTCTACCCCGGCTAGCCTTCGGTATTCGTGGGCTGACTGGAAAGGCGTCCTCTCCCTACACGTATTTAAACATGGCTTCGGAAGGCAGCGGAAGCGATTGAACTCCAAGGTCGTTTAGCTGTGCTGCCAACAGGGTACGTAGACTCTCCTGTGCTGTATTCATGAGACGACCTTGAAGTCCCGTCGTTACAATCAGTACTGCGCATTTTGTTCCCAGTGGCGCTCCCTGCCGAATGCGTAAATCACTCTTCTCCGCGCGGGAATGACTCATCAAGCAAACTGCTTCCAGGACGGTTATTTTCCACTCGCAGGCGAACAGGAGGACGTTGGCTGGCAAAATTACTCAGCTTTCCGGACTTCTTCAGCAATAAACTAGAGCTTGGAACAAGTAGGCTAACGAAAAGGGGGTGAAAATGTGGCCAGAGGACAAATGAGTGTGTAGAGATAAAACGAAGTTGTCGGGCACGTTTACTTGCCAGCCAAAATTTATGCTTGACTTCTATAATTCAGATGTTGTGGGTTCTGATGTGGCTGTGGATTTGGAGCCTTTGCAGACCCACACATCAGAAAGCACGCAATATATCATAGTTTTTGTAAAACTTGCTGCTGTCGCTTTTTACTATCCTCTGAAATTATCTACGAACTTGGAGTAGATAAGTTTATTCAAGGTGTATATTCTCAGACCGAGAAGTTTATGTATGAATATTTGGGCCGAAATCCATCCGCCAAAGCGGGTGACCGCGTGGGGGAACCCACTGAAGAGCCGAACCCCTCGCAGATGCGCCGTGCAGCGGCGGAATATAGGCGAAACACGCGTGTATGGGCTTTTGGCTAGTACCTGTGCTGTTAATATGTTAAACTTGCTACTTTTTTTAACTCGGGTAGCCACGAATCCAGCATAATGACCTTTAAACTTATCTCCGACGTCGTATATCACAGCTCGCGGCAAGCATGTGTAATGCTGGCTATCGCAGTCTGAATACCGTGGAAGAGCTCTCAGTATAACAGTTAGACCATCGTTTCAGACGAGGCACACAGCGTGCTCTACAGCCGGGCGATATCTGGGACGGTGGCAATCACGCAACGGAGTCCAACCCACGTCGAACCGTCTTTGGTGAGTCACGATAGCTCTTTTTTTCAAGTGCGAGACTCCGTACTTTGCAGTTCGGCTCCAAAAAGTGTGCCTTCGTTTTCTGCCATCCGTTGCCTGGCTGTGTGTCCGTCAATCAGGGTGCTAGGCAGGCTGGGGCTTTCGGGAATTTGTGACCTCCATGTAGAATACCACAAAGTTCTCGCTGCCAGTTCACTGTTGGATTCCTTTAATCTTATTTAGGCGCCTGGCCCCTATATCTTGCGGTGTGAAATCCTCGCTCGAAATGAAGGCACTCGAGCCACTGACGTTTTTAGGGAATGACACAGAATAACAAAACTAATAATAACGATAGTGAAAATGTTAACATGGATAGAGGTGGGGAGGAGGAGGAGGAGGAGGAGGAGGAGGAGGAGGAGGAGGCAATCGTTTGGCCCAATGTCCTTTTAGAATTTCGGAGGTCGTTTTTACCTCCACTATCAAAGTTGCCTTCAAGAAGATAATTTTAAATAGGCGTTGTAATTTTCACGGCAAGATCTTCTTTGACTGTCGTCAGGAGTGTGTCCGCCGGCCAGGTCCTGGGATGTACTCGTCCCGTTGCGCCTTGGGGCTCAATCTAGAACCCCCGCAGACGTTAGCATAGCAAATGATAATCATGCAGAAAAGCGTATCGACAAAGACAAGGTCCATTAGCCGTCATCGGGCTGCCATACTCAATTCTATATTTGCAGGGCTTGGGATTCGATCTCAGATTATTTGGTCATGGGATATTGTTAATTCTAAGACCATGCAGTTGTATCGCATCCCTACGCGAGAATCTCCGATTAAGGGTCCTATAATTAAATCACGGGCACCTTGTCTTGTCGGTTGCGATTGGGAATATATACTGACGACACGACGGGAGACGGCGGTAGGGTGCATCGTGTCATAAGGGAATGGCGATAAAGGGGGTTTCGTGGGTGGACCAGCACGCTAGAGAGTGGACTGACGAAATGCAAGAAAACACAGAGGTTATTTGCATTTTTTGCAGAAAGTCTTATCGTACGCTTTCGTATTGCAACGGAAATGAGCGCGTTCATTAAAAAGTAGGCAGAAAGCAAATTTTCAGAAATAACGGAGTTTGAGTAATGGTTTGGGGTCACGAGAAGTGTTTGTTGTTGGCAGGGGGTGCGGTGGTGCGCCCAGGTGCGAGTTTCTTCGTGCCAGTCACCTGCAGTCTTGTTGACTCCCTGTTGACACCGGGCCCAGGTGGGGAGGAGAAGAGAGTGCGGTAGATGCAGCGCAAGTCCACTCCTATTATAAACTAATTCACGCGATCGTGGCCGTGCCCGCTTTCACCCTGCTGTGGAGCACACGGTGGACATCGTAAAAATCGACGCGCGGACTGAAAACCACTGTGATGGCTGTCCAAATTTTGTCTTCCTTGACTTTTTATTTGGGAATCTCGAGCTGTCAACTCGCTACACTCTTACAGACAAAAGCCAGGGATACATTGGCACATTGCAGTCAGCAGCACTGCCGTAACTAACTACTGTCGGACCTGCGCGTGACACGCCGCGTCGGACACCCAGCCTAGCCTCATCACCAACTGGTCAGCAGGCTCGGACAGCAAATCAGTGCATGGGCGAGACAATAGCGAGCGAGGTCGATATTAATGTGGGATTCATCCTCACGGAAAATCAGCGCATTTCTCACCACAGTAAGTCTGGCGCGGCTCAGCCTATCATACAGGTTAAAGTCCTGTCCTCGGTGAGATTCGAACTCACGCAGTAAGGGGACGGCTTTAGTACAGCCAACGCTCTAATCACTTGAGCTACGAGACCCCGCCGGACGACGCAAGTTCAACCACATTGGGGTCAAGATACCCGCCCAACCTACTGCAACGTCTGGAATCCACCAAATCTGATACAGTAAGATGACTGTCCAAGAAGGATTTCCTAAGTAATTCACCTAGCATCCACCAGATGACTACCAGGCTCACGTAATTCATAGATATTTTGGCAGATTTTGAATAATTCATATTGATCCAACTGTGAAAAACTCGGCGCCTCGGTGGGATTCGAACTCACGCAGTAAGAGGAAGGCTTTAGTACTACTTATTATTAGTTGGGGCCTGACAGATGGCTAACCCACGAGATAAATGGGTTTAACTCAGGATTGAGGGTCAATTTGCACTGGATCCTTCACTATATGACCTTTATGGCACTGCCAAGTATGTGAGAGCTAGGACCCCTGAATGAAGCCTGGCAGTTGTGGCGTTATGGACCAGTTCATATGCGGCAGGCATGAAGGTCTGCTGAACTTTTCAACCACTGCGCCTACGCTCACCGCAGGTCGCCTAGACCTCGTCTCATCATCGGAACACGGTGGTTGTGGAAGGAGGGAGTGCGGTAAATTTAGCGCAAGTCACGACTGTGCTCATCTTTTGAGGGGGTGGTTGAACTTGTCACTCGGAGCAGTCCAACTATCCGATCTGCCACCTGACGCAGGAATGCACTTTTATTCGACCTCACCAACTACATGCGTCCAATCTTTCTCTCATATTTCGTCTTCCCAAAGATAGAATTACTAGCTCCTTTTGTTTACAAATTGGGTACGTTTTCCGTGCGTTTAGTCAACCTTGTAGAGTCTCAACCCTCCTCTACTGAGAACAATTTTCTGGTCGCTTTTAGTCTGCATAAGAGCTGACCAGTTGACAGAGTAAAATCACGGTGTCAAGCTTGTGTTCCAGTTCGTCCTCTCATGTGGTCCTGACGAATGATTTCGTCATCTTGTGTCACCCGTACTCCGTGCCGCCGCCGCCGCCGCCGCCGCCACCATCGTCGGAACTTTCGTCTATAGCGAGTGCCCGAAACCGGACATGTCTCACGCTCATGCTTATGTCTCGTGCTCCCGGTCCTCCGTCCTAGCGGCCACGTCATGACGAACGATTTCGTGAGCTCGTGCCGCCCTCACCGGCGCCACCTAGCGCGCGTGAAGGCAGGGGTGAATTCATGTGCATCGACCAATCACGGATGTCGACACTGGACAACCTGGCTGATGGACACTTCCACTAGTACGCGCGCCTGTCACGCTTTCGCGCCCTTCTAACGGGAAAACGGATTCTCCCGGGCTTCACAGAACAGGTTAGTCTGTCTTGCAAGGGCACAGATCGTCCCAGTTGGTGTCTCAGCATAAATGATGCCTGAAACAGCCAGCATCTCAGTTTCCTCGACACTTGTCGACCAGCCTCTGACATTCCCCTTTATGAAAGTTATCGTTGTTTTGCTGTTTTACGAGACGTGGCCCAAGCGTGCACAGCTTTGGAAAGTTGTTTCTTTTTCAGGCATAATTCGGTGACTTGAATAGGGGAAGAGGATTTGATTTATAAATGCCCCTTCACGCCGCTCGTCACAATCCAGTTATTATTTTACTGGCAGTTAAAGGTGGAGCTTCGGGCAGCTCACTGTAAGTCAAAACTGTGCCCAAGCAGCGTTACCAACCAGTTTGTGACTTCACCGCTGCTAACTCGTCGAGCATTCTGGGAAACGAAGCCACGGCCTCCTCCAGCAACCCGACCGTAAGGAACACTCACCTTCAAAAACAGCAGACCAAAAAGACGGACTCCTGTTCAGGCATCTGTTCCTTGTGGGCACGCATAAACACTGCTGCCTCAGATTAAGCCCTTTTGATGGTGGTGGTGGCGGCGGCGGCGGCGGCAGCCGGACACGAGGCCGTGGAGTGCGTTGAGTCATGCCCGAGAGAGAAAGAGAGAGAGGTGGCAGTTGCTGAATGTCGCTGGGGGTGGAATCACGTGATGGTGATAGGGTCACTCCGGATTCATCAACGAGTTTGGTAGGCCGTACCACCTTGTAGGCACCGCTTGACCTGAATCGCTCCAAGAAGACGCTTATCCCATCGGAAGACATTTTGAAGGCCTAAGATGGCGTGAAAGCATTATGTGCTACTGTTTGCATTCTCAGACACCTTTGTTTATATGCACAACTGACGCCTATAACAGACCCTATAAATGACCTAACTGACATCGCTGCCCATCAGACTGTAACCGGTATTCTGCATAACTTGGTTCCCTTCTCAGATAAGCATTGTCCCCACAATTTAGTCGAGTCCTCCGAGCGCCTGCCCCAACGCTGGGCTCTCGCGAGTGTCTGCACGTGCGCAGCAGGGCTGTCTGGCATTCACCCACTCGGGTCTCCAACTAGCCAACTGGATTCAAGCCCGCGTCAGACGTGCCCTGGCTTAAGACGCTTTAACGCATTCCCTGAATCCACGGTCTCACGGCGCGGTGTGCCATCGTCCTACTGCTAACTCTCTCCAACCCCTTTTCCAGTTATTCTGTACAGAATACATCCTCCTCTCAACTGGCGTCCAGCTTCTCTTTCCATTCGGGACCGGACCTGAAGGTGCTGGTAGTCAGGGTCTCACTCACGACTTAGGCTTCTGCGATATCCTGACCGACAGCCGCATTGTTGGGCTTCACCAAGCCTGTTCACACGGTAATGCGTGTCTTACTAGAGATGAGATGTGGTTAGAGCGTCGGACTTCTAACGTGGGTTTGGATCTCAGGGGTTGCAAAACTGGGGTTAGGTATGACTGGCATATGACGACTAATAGGCCAGGAATGGACACTCCGGTCTCCCGCATATACTATTAGTCGCTGTGCGACTGCCTTCTACTTCTCTATATACTACTAGTCCCTGTGCGACAGCCTATCAGGCTCTAGATTACCGCCGACAACGACAAAAAGTATCTGTATGCGGGAACAAAATCTCCTATCATACTTTTAACGGCCAGACGACAAGTGTGCAAAGCACTCAACAACCCTCTCGACCGTGTAGTTAGGGTAAAACTGAAGCTTCTCACCGAGCCAGCATAAGTTAGGATGTGTAACACGACCAGCTACCTCCAAGACGACAGTTTTGGGTAAGCACCTTCACCGACCCTGCCGTAATTTGTTCAGTTGTAGTGACCCACTCGGCGTTGCGACAGCTAGCGAACTCCACCTCACCAGTTGAATGCTTGTGTCGCCTATGATCTAGCCCCCGGATCGGAAGTAACGTGACTCCGGACGACAACGTGGTTGGCCGCATCCATAGAGCGCGATCACCTCGCGCTCTAGGACGCAACACCAACAGCTGGTTCTTAACTCGGTTGAAAAGTCGTCGCTGCCGTCGTCTCCTGCCCTCTGCCGACATGAACAAAGATTTTTTTTATTAATTCCGTCTTCCTGGCTTTTGATTTGGGAAATTTCTCGTTGTCGACCTATCGCACCTCTACACAGTCGCTTCTGAGATTCGCACTCACCTACCTGACCGTATCCACCTCTCCACTTTTATGACCACTTTCAGTGTCTGTTCTGGGTACCGTGGCCGGCCACATTGGAAATCTCATTTTAAACTGCTTACTGGCGCGGTGATAGAGATAGTGGCTACAAATCCAACTAATTATCGTCGAACTGACCACATTTAAATGATGGCGTACAACTCTGGATTAATAGGATCGTTGGAGCATTCCAACGGCAGTTGAGTACGGCAACCACAGAGTCTGCTGCTAACGACGCTACTCTTTCAGCCCATTTCCTAAATCCGATACCGGTGGACTTGGACTCAGCTTGGACTCCAGCTCTGTTCAACCGCTCTCTACCTAGTTGGTCGATTCTTCACCTTTCCCTCCTGAACCAAAGTTTTGTGTAGCTTGAGTCTGCTGTGTCGTGAGTCAACTCCATGCAACACCTCCTCTGGCGTAAACAACCAATCCTTGTGGACCTCGCAACCGCCACACCTGAGAATTCAGGCCGATTCCTTCACCACGTCGCCTTTAATAAACCAAAGTCCTTTACAGCGACCCGTGTCAGGTTGTTCTTTGGCCTGGTAAATACATCAATTTTGGTCGCATGAGTCGGCGCTTATCAAAGGGAATACGGGATCACCTTTCGGCATGGCTGGGAAAAGGCGAAACGAGGAGCATAAGCAGCGCCATTCTCGCGCATGTTGTCGATTCCGGACATCGTGTGGACCCCAACGAAGCTTTTCGTGTGATTTATAGGGTCCCACTAAGTTACCCTAAGCTACTAGGCCAGCGCCTGTTAACGACAGCAGAAGCGGCCGCCATTAGGTTACGAAAGCCGATCTTATGCGCACAGAAGAATCCCGTTCAGGCTTCGCGCCTACAGTGGTCGAAGGTCGAATAACTCTGCAATTCTCCGCGCCCTTCAGCTCTCACCCCGCCCCTGACAATGGCTGCTATTACCCCCCCCCCCGCCCACATTCCCACACCAGTCTGTGTTTTAAGGAGATCTTTTATCGATTTCTCTTATCGCTGACATGTTTTACTTCTATCCCGTTCCAGTGTGACTGTACTGACCCCACGAGACTTTATCGAAAGCTACGTATGCCCGCCATCTCGCCTTCTAAGTACAGCAATATTTAAAGAATTGACAAGTAGAAGGAGCAAAATATTGTCTCTTCCAAAACTACCCTCGTTGAGTGAGTGATAAATGAAAACACTCCAGGACTGCAGAGCCGACTGTGCGTGTGTACCACCGCAGCTCTCGAAAGTAGACGCGACGAGGCAATTTTCAGGGGCTGGCCGCCCACTATGGCTGTCGTTTGGGCCTGCACAGTGGTGTCGTTTCCCCCCTAAAGTGCATCCGCCCTCATTCCTTATCTTCTGTGGGAGAAATGATGGAGGGGGAGATTCAGAGTTCAAGCTGCTGCACCCGTACGTTGCTGTTGTGTCGCGGCAGCCATGCCACGTTGGATGGGGGGGGAGGGAGGGGATTAATTGTGATGTGCATGCGCCCAGACGCGTAGACTGCACGTGTGGGACAGACCTGCGTGCCCCTAAAGACGCCGGACTGCTGCTTGCGCACTGGTTGGCATGCTCTCACATGTACACATGCCTTGGCCTCGCTCTCGTGCCCTTGAGGATAACACTGAAAACCATGTGCATTGTAAGGAATAAATTCCTCCATTTAGAGACCCTCGCTATTCCGCCGTTGTAAGGAACATGGCCTGGGTGTGAGTGATTCTAGAGCAGGACTTCCCAACCAGGGGTGCGAGATAATATTTTCATTTTTCGGAAACCATTTGGCGGGCATACGCGTGCTTTAGATAAATTCTTCTCCGGCCAGTACATATGGGAATGAGGTATAATGCAAAACGTGTGAGCGATAGGAGAGATCGATTACGGTTGGTCTTTTCATACAAGCGGGATGTGTGAGTGGGTGGAGGCAGTAAGTGGCCGTGAGGTTTAGGTAGAACCGTGTCACAGGGGGAAGGGGAGGGGGGAACG